ATTCTGTTGATTTCAAGACTCTAGCAGCTGAAACAGACTGGGACAACACAGATCTCATGAGTGTTTTTGTTATTGGCTTTAGTGAACAACTGAAGGATGAACTTGCTGTTAAAGATGATTTTGAGGATCTAGATACATTCATTTTTACAACAGTTAAACTAGATCACCCCATTGGTGAACGCTGCCGGGACCGAGCCCTCATTTCCTCAACCAGTTTGTGTTTGTCTACCTCAACGACATTCTCATTTTCTCACACTCCCAGGAAGAGCACACTCCCCGTACAACAGATTCTGCCAAGGTTACTGGAGATTAAACTATTTGTCAAAAGTGAGAAATGTGAATTTAACAAATTCTACTGCACATTGTTGAAAGAGGACAAGTGAGGACAGATCCAGAGAAGGTTCGTGCTGTGGCAGAGTGGCCTACACATATTGATTCAAAAAAGTATTCAACTGGGATATTCATAGACTTACAGAAAGCGTTCGACACGGTGGACTACAGCATACTCTTACAAAAGATACAAAAATATGGGATCAGAGGATTGATTCTTAACAAACTGAAAGCAGTGTGTGCAATAGGAACAGCACGAATCCACATGTGAAACCATTGTCTGTGGTGTCCCACAGGGATTTGTGCTAGGCCCCAGATTATCTCTTTTATATATAAATTACTTGTACTTAGTTTGTGAAAAACTTTAATTAGTTCTCATTGCGAACAATACAACAGTTCTGTGTTCAGGTGAGGATCTTCAAAGATTAGTGATCAAGACGACACAAATTGCAAAGTTCCAAGTGTGGTTTGCTAAAAACAGACTGTCTCTAAATATCATGAAAACAAGAGCAATGTTCTTTAGAAACCATGAAATAAATCTGCAAACACTAATTCAAATTGATAATGTAACAATAGAAAGAGTATTTGAACACACATTTCTTGGTAAACCCAACATTTATAAAATTAAAATTAAAATTGCAAAAGTTAGAGCCTTGAGGAACAAATCCAAATTCCTCCTAAATAAGAAACTACTTGTACTGTACTTTTATCTTACCCCAAGTTACTGTGTGGAGGTTTGGGAAATTCTTTAATAAAGTAACACAGATGTATTGTTTAAATTACACACATACAAAAAACCCACTCTTGAACAACTCTCAAAAGCATGTGTGTTACCAGACGTGGAGCAAATTTCTGAAATAGCTTAGATGACCATATCAAAACTTGTACTAACTTGGTCCACTTCAAAAAACAATAAACCACGACTATTGGCTAAAAACATGCTTTTCTTTGGCACTGCCTTTTCTTTTGTGAAACTAGAGGCAATAACATCTCCATGGAGACAAGCAGGTGATGAACCCTCCAGCTGAAAATCTACATAGTGCACCTTTACATGACATGATCCTATTTTTGAAGCTGTTGCATCATCTTTTTGTTGTGATTGTAAAAGAACAATGGAAATCATGGATTGAAAACAGTAGTAATGATGAGACTAAAATGTGACACTGTGACCTCCCTTTTCCCTGTTTCAAACAAGACAAAAACTGTGAGAGAAACCTGAGTCCTTAAAGAGGGAGTATTATTCCACTTCTCTGGAGGATGAACTGCAAACTCACAACACATTTACATCACCATGTTTCCTTTGATTGTTTGGAAAATGTAATATTCACCAAAAATAACACATCAACATGTTTAATACGTTTTAGTTTAGTTTTTGTCTCTCTAAAGGCTAAATTGTACTTCTGTGTCGACTTATCGCTGCCGTCGCCTTGGTTTTTGATTTATGGATCTGCGTCGAGTTCTATGCACCACAAAGTAATTCACCGCTACAACTCGAGGAGGATAGGATTGCATTTGTGTATAGAAAATGAAGCAAGAAAGTGCAGTACCAAAAATGTGTGTAGAGCAGATGCAGAGAGAACCAATCACAGCCCTTACTGTCTGCGTGGCTTCCCTCTGCTGTCTGCATCGGTTCAGTGGTTACAAAATGTCAGAGGTGCACGCTGGTCGACACAGACGCTCTGCAATTTGATGCATGATGATAAATTGTTCTTAAGTCTCCCCTTTGTGCCTCTGTCACTAAGTCACTCCCCCTTCAGAGCACCATCACATTACAGGCGGCGTGAATTCGGCCCCAGAGATATCTAAATTGCTCAAACATCCATAGATGATATATAAAACCTCATTAGACATGTTTTTGTCACTTGGTGTCGATGTTATTGCTAAAGTTCCACTGAGATCCATCATTTTTGAAAAGCCAACATCACTATAACATGGTAGAAAACTCCTAAAAGTTGTTTTGCAGAATTCCTCCTCTTGAAGTTTCAGTATTTTACATGTTTACAGTGACGTCCTTTGGTAAAATCTTCAGGGGGATGTTTTCTTCTGGTGATTAAATAAGGAACCAGTCCATCAGTGAAAGTCTCTGTGAATGTGTGTTCAGGTCAGTCAGTGTTTGTGTCGGGGTCACTAAAGGTCACTGTTCCTCTGTCAAAGTCCAGCTTCACTCTGAGTCTCTGCAGACTCCTCCTCACAGAGAGTGATTTAACTGTGTCTGGGAGAGAAACAGGCTGAGTATTCACCATCAATGAAACCTATAAACCAACCTCCAGTCTCAGTCTTTCCTCGTCTCTGAACAGGTCCACTCACACCTACAGTCCATCTTTTATTGTCCCCGACCTCCACGTCCCAGCTGTGAGTCCCTGATCTAAACACTTCAGATCCAAATACACTGTGACCTTTACGTCTCTCTGGATTCTGTGGAAGCTTCTGTTTCTCTCCTCTCTTCACTGAGCTCAGATCTTCAGACAGGATGAGTTCAGGATCTGCTCTGTTTGGATCCAGAATGACAGGGTAGAACTTCACCAGTCTCTTCATGTTCCTCCAGATGTTGAAGTCCAGGTTGCCCAGATGTTTGGCCTGGTCGATCAAAGCTCCAGGTTCCATCTGTGGTTCCTCCACCAGGGGGCGGCGCTGCACTCTCTCCACTGTAGACTTGTACTGTAGCAGGAAGGAGATGTCTGTGGCCCTCAGCTGCTCCTCTGTCTCTGTGATGGTTTTGGACACAGTCTCCATCTGTCTGCTCACGGTGGCCATCTTGTCCTTCATGTTGTGAGTCTTCTGCTCCTCCTCCTCCCTCAGAGCCTTCATCCTGGACTGTTCTTCCTCCAACAGAAACTGGTGCAGTTTCTCAAACTGGTGTCGGATCTGTGCCTCTGTTTGTCGAGCCTGGGCTGTGATATGAGCCGCGGCGTCTTCAAACTGCTCTTTCCTCCCAGTCAGAACCTGCACAGAAAGAGTCCGAGTGAATCAGACAGAAGCAGCCCTCTGGTCTGTGGGGCCCTGACACATTAGTGTGATGAATGTGAGTGAACACAGTTGAGCCTCTGATCAGCAGTAAGTCTGCTCTGACAGTGGTCTGTGTGAGCTGCTCCTCACACGCTTCTAAAGGCTCTAATAACACCAGGAGGTGTCTGGGGAGAGGGAGGCTCCACATGGAGGCACGATGGCAGAGTGGTTAGCACTCTCTCCTCTTAACAAGAAGGTCCTGGAAGGTCCTTGCATGTATAATGACAAACAGAAACATGAACACAAACACAGTTCCAGAGGTGAAGAGTCTGTACCTGCAGTTTGTCCTGCAGAGGCTTGATGGACGTCCTCAGCTGCTCTCTCAGGTCCTCGGCCGCCTCCTCCATGGGACTAAACCTGTGGTCTTTGTGAGTCCTGGAGTCTCTGCAGACCAGGCACACCGGCTGCTGATGGTCCAGACAGAAGAGCCGGAGCTTCTCTGAGTGAACACTGCACAGAGGCTCTGAAGGGGTCTGCTCTCTCTGCTCTGTAAACGTCTGCACCAGGTTCCTCAGGGCCAGGTTCACAGGAGGAAGTTCCTTTGAGGATCTTCTCTTACAAACTGCACAGGTCTTTATGGGTTTGTCCCTCCACCAGTTCTGCAGACAGACTTTACAGAAGCTGTGGCTGCAGGACAGAAGCACAGGTTCTCTGAAGAGCTCACAGCAGATGGGACAGGTCAGGTCCTCCTCCAGCCTGGAAGCCATTTTGTCTCTAAATCTAAAACCACAATGAGACAGAACACAATTTATCATCACACCATATTTTCAGAGTCATTTAAAGAAGAAAAAATGGTAACAAAAAGACACTGATAAACACAGAATGTTCATCAAGACTTCAAGTCATAACCCAGTTTCTACTGAAAATCAATAATAATATTTTGAAGCCTGTTACAAGAGATTAGATAAACACTAGGGATGCAACAATATCATTCGATACTGGTCTCACGATTCGATTCAATACACGTGTTCTGTCGATATGCACATGTCCCTCCAGGGCTCTGTGTTGTCTCTTATTTTAGTCCCAAAGGAAAACAGTTATAGCGTCCTCTGCAAGAAAACTGCTCCATAGGGATGTACTGCTGAAATATTCTAACAGAGGAGGGTTTGATCATTCGGTCACTATTTATTTTACGTTGATCGACCCAAAAATGACAAAGCTATTACCTTCAAAATACTTTAGAATCGCTTTTGGCTTCAGATCATCTTTAATGAAGTGCACTCATATATGTGATCTTTTTCTCAGACTCTATCTCACAAGTTTTAGTCAAAAAACTGTCTGAGACATTCCTGTGTAGTTTGAGTGTTCAGAAAGAGGATGGGAGAGTGCAGTGTGTCTGTAAGAGCACAGACTGTAACAGGGCAGTGTGGGAGGAGCTACGTACTCTGTCTCTGCTGGATTGTGCAGTGTGGGAGGAGCTACGTACTGTCTCTGCTGGATTGTGCAGTGTGGGAGGAGCTACGTACTGTCTCTGCTGGAGGAGGCAGCGCGGGCACAAGTGCACCCAGTGAGAGGACTGAGGAGGAAAAGAAGTCATCAAATCATCATCAAAAACAGAAGTCTGTTATTGTCACTCCCCTACAGTCTATATTAAGAGTCGACTGGTTTATTATAAAATGTTAAACAGCTTGAGAAACTTATGTTCTTATTTTCATTGAATAAAAATGCTGTAAATCCTTGAACCAAATGAGCTAAAACACTTCACATATAAACTCCAGCTGTACAGTAGCTGTGCTGTAGTGTAATGTTTCATTAACATCATGGTGTTATTTTATATTCATCAGCAGAAAAAATTACATGAGACTTTTATTTTTTTTTGCGATCTAATTGTGACCCATCGAGATACGTATTGAATCGTGAGAAAACTGTATCGTTGCTTCCTTAATAAATGCAATTTCAAATGTAGAAAAATGAAATCAACAGTAACTCTGCAATTATGTGGTTACATCAGTGTCAGTACTCACTTGAGTCATGAAGGTGGATATTATTTATGCTTTTTTATTTATTTTTTTAATTAAACATCAATCCCATTTAGTTTAGTCTGATCTGATCATTTTAATTTTGTACCTCGAGTTCCACAATCCTGGGTCCCATCCCCCACTGCAGCATCTACTTTCACTTTCTCTGCTGCCGTAACAGAAGTGTCTTTCCACTCACCAAAGCCCAGAGCAGGTTTCACAGCTCAAGTAGAAGCCTGGAGTTTCTTTGTTGTTGAATTTTGGAGCTGAAATGGTCGTTCAGATGGATCCTTCTCCCTCTGTGTCTCTGAACTGGAACTCAACATTTCCTGGTCTTGGTCTGAATTGATAAACGTGTCATGTGACTGTTCATACCTGAGATGGAGACACACCTTTTATTTCCAAAACTGACATTAGTGCAAAGACTACATTAATTTATGAATGTATTTTTAACCTCACAAACAAATAAAAAAAGTAATGAATCATCAAAAGGGACAAAAGGAGTTTACATCCTAAGTAGAACACTATAAGTACAGCAATAGCATCTCCATGGAAACGAGGAGGTGTCGCACCCTCAACCAGAAAAGTCCAGGTCTTATTGCTGCTGTTTTCCTGACTCGTTGTTCCTCTCTCTGCAGGTGCACGTTCCGGTTCCCCAGCACAAACATAAAGATCTCGTTCACGGCCTTGTCCAGTGGCAGGAAAGTGAAACGTGAAGCTCCAGAATCTCCAGTTAAAGCGGTTCAGCCTCAGATCTCTCCTTTAACCATCAGCATCCCAGAAAACATCGCCCACCTCATGAGCCCCCTGCCCTCCCCCACAGGGACCATCAGGTAACTGGAGTTTGTCTTGTAATTTTCTCATTCCATCAACTCTCCTTAAATCCGCGTTTTGTACCTTTTGGTTCATAGCACAATTTCCAAATCGGCATTGTTGGTGATTGTGATGTTTTAATGTGTGTTTTTCCACAGTGCTGCTAACTCGTGCCCCTCCAGTCCACGGGGGGCAGGCTCCTCTGGGTACAGACTGGGCAGTCGAATGGTGAGCTCAGCAGAACTTCAGCTCATAAACGATAACTCGCAACCAGAGCACGAGAAGGACAACTCCGGAGGGGACAGTCCCAAGGTACGCACGGACCTGAGGCTACGTAAACAGGGATTCTACGTCATTCACTCAAAATAATGTGTGAATGACGTAGAGAACTGGGGGCAGTAGATCAGGTGGAAGTGTTTGGCGGTTTGAATCCCGATTTTGACATAAACATGATCGGTTGAGCGGTCAGATCCACTGATCCACAGGTTGGCGGTGTGATTTCTACTCCCACAGATGAATGCTGTCATTGTGTCCTTGGGCAAGACGCTTAATCCACCTCACCCCCAGTGTCTGTGTGTACTGATGTGTGAATGTGTGTGTGAATGGGCGAGTGGCTCCTTGATGTAAAGTCCTTTGAGGGCCTTGAAGGGTGAAAAGAGCTGGATAACTGTTTTGATGGGTTGAAAATCATACAGTTGTCTACATTTTTATATTTTATCCTCATAATTTAAACACATTTCAAATAAAGAGCTGAGATAAAGATGAAGAGCTAGATTTCTTGGAAGTATTGGGCAGAGACAGAACTTAAAAAAAAAAAAAAAAAACGTATATAACTCTGAGACAGTGTAATCCTTCATTCGCCCAGGAGGGGTTCAGTGTAGACACTGTTAAAATGGCATTAGGTTTTTGTGTTTAAAAAGATTCTGCGTGTAACCACCTGTCACACTGTAAAAATATAATAAAATGTCTGTCACACTGACTGAATGAAATAATCTCCAGTGAAACCTGTGGGACAGAGGATCGTACAAGGGCTGGATAATGTCCTGTTTGACTGCAGTGTTACTGAATCAATGAGTTTAAAAAGACTCTTCCTGTGACCACATGCCCAAATGAGCCGTAAAAATATAATGACTGATAAAAATAGCTTATTTTCTGGACCCTGTCCGTCACTAACCTGATTCACACCAGACTGAGATGTGCTGCAGGCTGAATGAGTTCTACACGTTCTCAGTCTGGAACAGCCCTCACTGAAAGAGATCAGGAAAATGCAGAACATCATGACAAATGTTTGGATCTTATAACTTTAACTTTTGCTAAATCCAGATGTTTTCTTGTCCCCGAGTTTTGATTTACACGTCCAAGTCCAGAGAAAAGAAAAGACAAATTGATGTTGTTTTGCTTCAGTGGAGAAATGCTTTTTTAAAATAAATTAATTTAAAGCCCAGTGATGTGTCCTGTCTGTTAATACATGGAGATTGTCATTTCAGTGCACTTCAATGCTCCTTGAGCTTTCACAGGTGAAACCAAAGCTTCAGAAAGAATCATTCAGACAGAAAACTCATCATATTAACCACACACACTGACTTATGGATTTACTCTTTTGTTCTTTTTTCTTCTTCTAGTTACAAAAAAATCTGCACCATCCAGCAGTAAACCCCAACAAACAGCACATTCATACACAGACAGGGGTCAAGTGTCTTGCCCAATGACACAGGGGTAGTACTCACTAATACTCTTAATAATACTTTTACTCAGTTACTGTCGTGGATTCTTTTTAATGAAAGAAAACAACATGTTGTAGTCAAAAATAGTGTTTGTGACTTTATTTACACAAGTGCACAAAACAGTGAGAGTTTGAAACAAATCAATCTCTTTACAGGTTGTGGAAGTCTTTTCAATATCTCCTGAGCTGGTGCCTGTGGTGCACACAGCTCCAATCCTCAAAACACACTGCCTCTGTGCAGAGGAGAGTCCCCTTTTAAAGTACGAAGCTCCTCCCCCAAATCAATTCACAAACAAAAAACGGCTTTTAGAAATACATCAATTCCCCTTTTAATACTAAACAATCATAAACATGAAAAGAAACAAAAATCTCCTAATAATAACCTTTAAACACAGATGGGAAAATAAAAATGATCCAAGTACAAATAACAGAACGTCTCCTGATGTTCTTCGTGACTTCGTCACACATGCACACTCCATGTGACACAATATAACACAGAAGTGAATGAAGCTCGGGTTGGTTGATGGACACACACCATGGATCTATTCAAATAAGTGGAGGTGTTTCTGCTTGTATCTGCCTCCAGTTGACGTAGAGACACTCACTGGAACTTCAGAGAAAAACTCCCCTGGGCTGAGACGAGATTTTTCTCATAGAGTCAATGTAAACACAAACTGTTCATGTTCAGCTCACAGGGACCTACAACTTTCAAACATGTTGGATTTTGTAGCAATTTTTACCTATTTTTAGATCATAAACAGATAAAAACATTTTGGAGTCATTTAGAAAACTGTTCATTTGTGAATTGAAGTCCAAATTCAAATGGAAGAGAAACTGATATTAGCATGAGGATCATGTAAACCCTTATTGATGATTCAGTCGTCTAATAGTGACTGTTTCACACATTTGACACAATCACATATTAAAGTGGGATGTGTTCAGTGTCGTGTTGTCACGGTAACAACATTTCAAACTCCATTTCAATACTAAGAAATAGACTCGATACTCAATACCGATTCTGATCCCACGATGATGATAAAAGAACTCTTTATTTAGACAAAAGAATGTGATTTTCCACATTAAATATGAGGACTTTCTTTTATATATGACCATGTGCTTTTATAAGTCACTTTTTCAAGGTATTTTTGAGACAGATTAACAAATGTCACTGAAAACATGCAAGACAAATGAGTTGAATTGAAATGCCATACTGTGGAACTTTCCAGGCAAAGCAATAACATCTCCATGGAGACAAGCAGGTGATGAACCCTCCAGCTGAAAATCTACATAGTGCACCTTTACATGACATGATCCTATTTTTGAAGCTGTTGCATCATCTTTTTGTTGTGATTGTAAAAGAACAATGGAAATCATGGATTGAAAACAGTAGTAATGATGAGACTAAAATGTGACACTGTGACCTCCCTTTTCCCTGTTTCAAACAAGACAAAAACTGTGAGAGAAACCTGAGTCCTTAAAGAGGGAGTATTATTCCACTTCTCTGGAGGATGAACTGCAAACTCACAACACATTTACATCACCATGTTTCCTTTGATTGTTTGGAAAATGTAATATTCACCAAAAATAACACATCAACATGTTTAAGAAGTTTTAGTTTCNGTGTCGTGTTGTCACCGGTAACAACATTTCAAACTCCATTTCAATACTAAGAAATAGACTCGATACTCAATACTGATTCTGATCCCACGATGATGATAAAAGAACTCTTTATTTCGACAAAAGAATGTGATTTTCCACATTAAATATGAGGACTTTCTTTTATATGACCATGTGCTTTTATAAGTCACTTTTTCAAGGTATTTTTGAGACAGATTAACAAATGTCACTGAAAACATGCAAGACAAATGAGTTGAATTGAAATGCCATACTGTGGAACTTTCCAGGCAAAGCAATAACATCTCCATGGAGACAAGCAGGTGATGAACCCTCCAGCTGAAAATCTACATAGTGCACCTTTACATGACATGATCCTATTTTTGAAGCTGTTGCATCATCTTTTTGTTGTGATTGTAAAAGAACAATGGAAATCATGGATTGAAAACAGTAGTAATGATGAGACTAAAATGTGACACTGTGACCTCCCTTTTCCCTGTTTCAAACAAGACAAAAACTGTGAGAGAAACCTGAGTCCTTAAAGAGGGAGTATTATTCCACTTCTCTGGAGGATGAACTGCAAACTCACAACACATTTACATCACCATGTTTCCTTTGATTGTTTGGAAAATGTAATATTCACCAAAAAATAACACATCAACATGTTTAAGAAGTTTTAGTTTCATTTTTGACTCTCTAAGTCTCCCCTCTGTGTCCCTGTCACTAAGTCACCCCCCCTTCAGAGCTCTATCAAATTACAGCTGGCATGAATTCGACCCCAGGGAGATCGCTAAATTACACAAACATGCATGGAACCTTATCAGACATGTTTTTGATGAGGAACAACATTATAACATGGTAGAAAACTCCTAAAAGTTGTTTTGCAGAATCAATCCTCTTGAAGTTTCAGTATTTACACGTTTACAGTGACGTCCTTTGGTAAAATCTTCAGGGGGACAATGTTTTCTTCTGTGATTAAATATGGAATCAGTCCATCAGTGAAAGTCTCTGTGAATGTGGATGTGTTCAGGTCAGTGTTTGTGTCGGGGTCACTAAAGGTCATTGTTCCTCTGTCAAAGTCCAGCTTCACTCTGAGTCTCTGCAGACTCCTCCTCACAGAGAGTGATTTAACTGTGTCTGGGAGAGAACAGACTGAGTATTCACCATTAATGAAACGTATAAACCAACCTCCAGTCTCAGTCTTTCCTCGTCTCTGAACAGGTCCACTCACACCTACAGCCCAACTTTTATTGTTCCCGACCTCCACGTCCCAGCTGTGAGTCCCTGATTTAAACACTTCAGATCCTAATACAATGTGAACTCATTTCTCTCTGGATTCTGTGGAAGCTTCTGTTTCTCTCCTCTCTTCACTGAGCTCAGATCTTCAGACAGGATGAGTTCAGGGGCTGCAGTGGTTGGATTCAGAATGACAGGGTAGAACTTCACCAGTCTCTTCATGTTCCTCCAGATGTTGAAGTCCAGGTTGCCCAGATGTTTGGCCTGGTCGATCAAAGCTCCAGGTTCCATCTGTGGTTCCTCCACCAGGGGGCAGCGCTGCACTCTCTCCACTGTAGACTTGTACTGTAGCAGGAAGGAGATGTCTGTGGCCCTCAGCTGCTCCTCTGTCTCTGTGATGGTTTTGGACACAGTCTCCATCTGTCTGCTCACGGTGGCCATCTTGTCCTTCATGTTGTGAGTCTTCTGCTCCTCCTCCTCCCTCAGAGCCTTCATCCTGGACTGTTCTTCCTCCAACAGAAACTGGTGCAGTTTCTCAAACTGGTGTCGGATCTGTGCCTCTGTTTGTCGAGCCTGGGCTGTGATATGAGCCGCGGCGTCTTCAAACTGCTCTTTCCTCCCAGTCAGAACCTGCACAGAAAAGAGTCCGAGTGAATCAGACAGAAGCAGCCCTCTGGTCTGTGGGGCCCTGACACATTAGTGTGATGAATGTGAGTGAACACAGTTGAGCCTCTGATCAGCAGTAAGTCTGCTCTGACAGTGGTCTGTGTGAGCTGCTCCTCACACGCTTCTAAAGGCTCTAATAACACCAGGAGGTGTCTGGGGAGAGGGAGGCTCCACATGGAGGCACGATGGCAGAGTGGTTAGCACTCTCTCCTCTTAACAAGAAGGTCCTGGAAGGTCCTTGCATGTATAATGACAAACAGAAACATGAACACAAACACAGTTCCAGAGGTGAAGAGTCTGTACCTGCAGTTTGTCCTGCAGAGGCTTGATGGACGTCCTCAGCTGCTCTCTCAGGTCCTCGGCCGCCTCCTCCATGGGACTAAACCTGTGGTCTTTGTGAGTCCTGGAGTCTCTGCAGACCAGGCAGGCACACCGGCTGCTGATGGTCCAGACAGAAGAGCCGGAGCTTCTCTGAGTGAACACTGCACAGAGGCTCTGAAGGGGTCTGCTCTCTCTGCTCTGAAGGGGTCTGCTCTCTCTGCTCTGTAAACGTCTGCACCAGGTTCCTCAGGGCCAGGTTCACAGGAGGAAAGTCCCTTGAGGATCTTCTCTTACAAACTGCACAGGTCTTTATGGGTTTGTCCCTCCACCAGTTCTGCAGACAGACTTTACAGAAGCTGTGGCTGCAGGACAGAAGCACAGGTTCTCTGAAGAGCTCACAGCAGATGGGACAGGTCAGGTCCTCCTCCAGCCTGGAAGCCATTTTGTCTCTAAATCTAAAAACACAATGAGACAGAACACAATTAGTCATCACACCATATTTTCAGAGTCATTTAAAGAAGAAAAAACAGTAACATAAGACAGTGACAAACACAAAGTCTTCATCAAGACTTCTAGTCATGAGCCTGTTTCTGTTCAAATGAAGAATCCAGTTGTGAAGCCTGTTAGAAGAGAGAACCTCCAGGTTCCCCACAGTTCCCCACACTGGTCTGAGAGGAGTGGCTCAAATTCAAACACAAATTTAACAACAATAACATGAGGACACACTCAGGACAGTGACAGGACAGAGGACAGAGGACACACTCAGGACAGTGACAGGACAGAGGACACACTCAGGACAGTTACAGGACAGAGGACACACTCAGGACAGTTACAGGACAGAGGACACACTCAGGACAGTGACAGGACAGAGGACACACTCAGGACAGTTACAGGACAGAGGACACACTCAGGACAGTGACAGGACAGGAGTTAATTCTATTTGTTCCACATTTACTTCCTAGTGAACATTGATCATGTGTTTCTACAGGCTCATGTGGCAGGAGGACTTTATACCAGATGCCCTCCCTGTTACTGTGTTGTGAGGAAGAAAAGCAGCACATGGTGAGTTTTGTTTCTGCATGTACACTTCTAATGTTCATGTGATTGTGTTCTGCTCCAGTGTTGTATTAGAGAGTCCAAAGTACTTGA